GAAATCCTCCTACTATGCTCCAAGACACAATCCAGGATACCATGTTACACTGATTACCTTTGCTTTTATTTTACTTATTTATTTTTGTGTGTGGACATGTGTTTGTGTGCGTATGTACACAGTCATGTGCGGGTGAATGTGCATGTATATATGCATATATGAAAGACACTGAGTGCCTTCCTCAAGCACTTTCTAACTTATTTTTTGATACAGGGTCTCTCCTGAACCTGGAGCTTGCTGACTTGCCTAGACTGTCAGCCAGCAAGCCCTAGAAATTCTCCGTTTCTACACCCCAGCGCTAGAATTACAGGTATATGTTGCCCAGCCTGGCTTTTTTTTTATGTTGATGCCAGGGATATGAAAATACTAAAGCCCACTGGATTGTGCACTTCAGAGGGTTAAATATTATGGCATGTGAATTATATTTTTTAAAGTTCCAAATGAGAGACATTCTACAAACTTTCTATTACTTATCAAAAGAAATTCTCCGTTTCTACACCCCAGCGCTAGAATTACAGGTATATGTTGCCCAGCCTGGCTTTTTTTTTATGTTGATGCCAGGGATATGAAAATACTAAAGCCCACTGGATTGTGCACTTCAGAGGGTTAAATATTATGGCATGTGAATTATATTTTTTAAAGTTCCAAATGAGAGACATTCTACAAACTTTCTATTACTTATCAAAACTGTCAAGGTCATGAAAAGCAAGGATAGTTTAAAAAATTGTCGCCAGCAAGTGGAGCCTACAGAGGCATGACCATGAAATGCCATGTGAACCCCAGAATAGAAAAAACACATTAGGGGAAAACTGAGGGAATCTGAGTGAAGTATAAGCTTATGGTAATGATAATTATGTACTGACATTGGTTCACTAACTGACAAATGCACAATTATAATTTAAAATGCTGACAAGGAAACTGAGTAACTGTGACTATGTTGATGACAATTCATTATTTAAAAATAGTTACAAGAAAAGCCTTTGACTAATTATAGCATGAAGAAATGATGACTGTCTGGGGTGATAGATAAGCCACATTGCCATGATCTTATCACTACAGACTGTGTATGTGTATTAAAGCGTCACATTGTGCCCCCAAAAATGGCTGCATGCCAATTAAAAATAAAAATAATGGTGGGAATGCTGGTATATATTTGTAATTCTAGAACTTGGCAGGTTGGGGTAGCCTGAGCTGCATAGTGCAATCCTGTCTCAAAAAATTAAATAAATATAAATAAAATTAAAAAATAAGTGAAAACACATTTTAAAGAGAATAAATAGTTTATGG